TTATAAAATATCTTCATGGAACATGATCTTTACTTAATATCCTAATGATTTTTGGCATAAAAGAAAAATCTATAATTTTGACCTACAATGTATTTTTGGCTATTGCTACAAATATACCCCGGCGACTTAAGACTGCTTTTGTCACATATATTCCGATAGAAATCAGTTATTTGAATTTGTAAAATATTTCACAAAATTACTGTATTTTTATCAAATAAATGCAACCTTGGTGTGCATAAGAGACTTCTTTTAAAAATGTTGCTACTAAAACCTTTAACTGTATGTCACAGTGCATCCTATGAATTTGTGGCTAAGTTTATCAGCTTTCATACAGAGTGATTTTAGTACATGCACTCCATGCTTTTAAGGCTGTATTGATTAACACGGGAAACGGCTTGGATGACATGAAACCCAACATTACTGTAACCTGCCCCCATTCCCATCCCATCCGGGTCGATATCAGTGGCACAGCTGTGTACGGTGACTCATTCAGCTGGAAACATAAAGCAAATAAAGGCCATTCACTGAGTGACTTCCTGTGGTACTATTAGAGAGATTTGAGATATAACTCTTTCTGTCTGGCGTTAGACTCATGCCTGAAGCCTGCTGGATGGCAGAGGCTTTAATATCCCGGTTCAGGCAGTGCAGTATCCACTGGCTATATATCAACACAAAGAGGTTGTCTGTTTGTTTGCATACAGTCAATATTGGCCATTAATCATTATAGTGCAGAAACGTCCCACAGTGACTGTAAATAAATGCAGTGTTAATATGTAAACTGTGAAATCGCTGAGATGCATATGCGATATACTGTGATATCTCACTCCGATTGTCTGTTTTCACAGCTTTACACTCCAGACTAGAGTATATGAGCAGTGCAGGGTTATTATATCAAATAAAACCATACCTTACTTGAAATAAAATAAATGTTAACTTAAATAAAATATAAAAATGTATACTTATTTCAGATAATTGCCAAAGCAACATTACTTTTATTTAGTTTGTTGAAATAAAAATTATTAAAAAATATATAGACATAATTAAAAAAAAATAAACGAAAAGCAAAAATACGACAAAACAAATTAGAAATATCATTGAAAAAAATCACTGGAGTGGTGATGCCTTCTTGTCACCGGTATATTGTCACAATGTGAATATTGCCCTAAATATTTGTTCTAAAATGAGTGTGTTGTATTTGGGTCCTCCAGGATCAGGATCAAGAAACACTGATGTAATAAGTCTGCCCTTGATGGGAAACTCCTGCTGCCATGTGCTCCAGCTCATTTTATAGACATAAATAATTCACACTCATGTTCAGTCGCTGTGCCTCAAGCAACCTGTGAAAATGATGGGCACATGCGAACGATACAATTTATTGCACATCTCTTCTAAATAAATGGTTACATAAATTATTTTTTTATTTATTCATTCATTCATTCATTCATTTATTTATTTTCCAAATACCATATTTTTGAGGACACTCAGTGCTTTGTAACTGTGTCCATCTCTGGTAAAATGCATTGATGGGAAGTCAGATGGTGATGCCAAGTGAACAGTTGGACAAATAGATGCTAAATTGCAAGTACTTGGATGCAGCACCACATATAATGTAGATTTATTGGACCTTAACCTGCATTAAATGCTAACCTGCAAATGTACATTAAGGTGACTAGATTTCTGAAAAACCAGAGATTTCCTAGTTCAGTGGTCAAAAATATCATTAATGAAATCTCACTTGTTATTCTCTATTAATTAAAAACGGGGACAATATATTTTTGCATGTTTTGTTTTTTAATTGTTTTGAGTTCCATATACTGATATTATGAATAATAATTATGATGTTTGCAGGTCTAACTGTCCCTAACTGTTTTTAATGCAATTCACCAAAAATCGGAGAAAAAAAAAAAAGTAAATAGCAAACAGATCTTTACAAAAATAAAGTACATAAGATACATAAAACTGTATTTAACAAATATTTTCAATTTTCTAATTGGATGCAATATTTTCATTTTCAAATTGTGACTATTTTAATTACAACTTTACAAATTTTACTTTATGTTTGTGATTTTGGAAATGGATCTTTACTGTCTCTAAAATTAAGCTGATTATTTTCAATTTTAGGCTCATTTTGAGCACAAAGTATGTGTTTTCTGCAAATATAATTGCAAGTGTATTATTGACGTTTTTAAATTTTTTTTTATTATTTATACACATCAAAGAGTACTTTCCCCCATGTGGTATAATTAAAGGGGTCATATGATGCGATTTCAATTTTTCCTTTCTCTTTGGAGTTTACATGCTCTTGGTGCATAAAGAAGATCTGTAAAGTTGCAAAGACTAAAGTCTCAAATCCAAAGAGATATTCTTTATAAAAGTTAAGAGTCAGCCACGCCTACCTAAAATGGCTCGTTCTAACACGCCCCCACATGTCTACCTCACTATGTGGGAAGATTTGCATAACGCCACCCAAATGTTCACGCAAAGAAAGAAGGCGTAACTTTTATTCTCGCTGTAGTATTGTTGTGGCCGCCATGTCGTGAAGACGCTGTGTGTTTCGTCGTGAAAGCGAAACTACTTTGTTTGGTCTTCCAAAAGAGGACGATATCTGCTTCGTCATGCCTAGAGCTGATCCGTGCTGGTTGCTGAGGAAATACTACAACATTGCGCTGTGGATCGCCGGATCGGCTTTCACCGTGGACAAAGTGGGGTCCAGCCCGGTGTCGTCACATGTGGTTTCCGCAAGCCTCCTTCGTCGAATCCGCCGGCCGCGCCGTTCTCAAGCCCACCGCCTCTGCTCACTCTAACCCTCCCACCGTTCCTCACTCAGCACCCCAGCCTCTGCTCACTCTAGGCCGCCGCCGCCGCCGCCACTCACTCTAGGCCACCGTGTGTGACGCTGTGTTTCGTTGTGAAAGCGAAACTACTTTGTTTGGCCTTCCAAAAATGGACATGACTTTAACGCACTGGATAGCTGGCCAATCACAGCACACCTCGCTTTTCAGACCGATGAGCTTTGTAAAAATCGACGCGTTTCAGAAAGGCGGGGCATAGAGAAGAAACAATAATGTACAGTATGTGGAAAATAATGTGTTTTTTAACCTTAAACCGCATAAACACATTTCATTGCACCAAATACTCAAAATAATGTTCTTTTTAGCAACATCATATGACCCCTTTAAGATGTGTTTGGGAATTACTGCTTTGTGACGGTAGAACGTTTGGGAATGTTTAAAATTGTGTGCAAATTCTGCTATTTATAGGTGTCAAACCAGTGTTTCTCTGGTTTCTGTGTAGCACAGGATCACAAAATTGAAATAAAAAAAGACAACTGCATATATTTTTCATATACAAAAAAAAAAGATTCTATTTACAAGAATGTTGCTCATTTTGTCCAGAGGTGTGTATGTTTATTAGCTATGCGTCTCATTGAAAAGGGTCATTGGAACATGATGAGATATGAATTCACTGAGCAATTAATGGTGTTGGGTTTTTGTAGCCTCAAAGTTTGTACTTGTAGTAATATTTTGATCTTCTGAACAGGTATATCCGCACAATGTACCTGGGCATCCAGAGTCGACGGCAGAAGGAACACAGTCGGCGCTTCTACTGGGCGATGATGTACGAGTATGCTGACGTCAACATGCTCCGGCTGCTGGAGACGTTTCTAGAGAGTGCCCCCCAACTGGTGCTACAACTCTGTATAATGATCCAGAAGAACCGGGCCGAGACACTGCAGTGTAAGTGTGAACCGTACCTTAGTGGAGTTCACCTCAGTCAACTAAAGCTTAGCGCTTGCAATTGTAAACTTTCAGAATGCATGATAAATGCTAGCTAAACAGATCCCTCAACATCAGCTGGATTTCTGTAGAGTGCTGTAGGCCAGGATTGAGTCCTGAAACCCAGAAAAGAGTTGGCATTTTTGTACTTCCATCATCCTGTAATCAGGAACAACATACCGGAAGTTGTGAGCTGGTGAAAATGATGCATTCTAGCACCTTTTACAGTGCGTGCCATTGTAAATACTGCAAGTCTATCCCTCACTAGGGATGTAAAGATTTCACTAGAGATGTTTAACGAATTGCGATACAACTGGAGGTAGGAGTTTATATGTATGTATATCTGAGGGGAATTTACAAAAAAAAGAGGGGAAAAGTTTAGATGGTATTTCCTTTTCGTCTTGCCACAATATAATGCATATTAAAGTAGTATTTATAAGCGCAGCGCTGCTTTGTTTATAGTGGTAAATCTAATTTAGATTAAAAACTACTCATGCTGCATGTATGCAGCATCGTTTTTTGGATTGTGATTAAATTACAGTGATTGCCTCTAATTTTAAAAGTAAAGAGCACAGATAAAACCTTGGTTTGTTTATATAAAGAGATTTCTTTTATTTCTGTTATTCGTGGTCACGAAAACGTATTGTTTGTTTGCATTTTTAAGCATTGTGGTTTAAAAGCAAGTGATTTTAAGCTGCTGAAACACAATCAGCAGCGAAAGAGAACTCATTTCGCTATGTGCTTAGCGAGGCGCACGCGTGAAGACGGTAGCGCAGGAGTATTATTGCCGCTTTATAGGCCTTGAACAGTTAAATACACACACCCATTTTTGCAAGTATCCTCATAAACACAGTAATTTAGGTTTTAAGTGAAAGCAAACAGCAGAGAAAGATAACGTGTAAATCTAGCTTAGCGTTAGTTCTGGCAGGTCACGTTAGTCAAGCTCGCATCAGCTGACTCTCAGCTGATCCCCATCAACCTATGGGAATACGACACCTATCTAAGTATTCATATATAAGGTCCCGCAGTAGTATCAGCAGTTTTCGCATTGCTCAATAGCTAATTACCCTCCTCCATCCCCAGCTCCTCCTCTGTCAGTCAGGATTCAGCCTTCTGATTCTCCTTGAATCAGACTAATTCTAAAATGTGTACATAACATTATTGAACTTTAACGATATCTGCAATACATTTATGTTGGTTCTGTTCTGTTTACCCTGGGGGGTTATCGCTGCTCTCCCTGCTCTCATCCATGCTAGGCTGCATGGATGCGCAGGGAGTTCTTGCCCAGAACAGAACCATACCGCCAATCCAAACTGTATGCTAATTGTCAATCATCTTTGACGATAGTGGTCCTGACAGAACAGTATTTTGGATCCGGCAGCTCTTAAAGTGACAGCAGTCTAAAATTCCTGCTGCCTGTCATTCATGTTACGCAAACAACAAAAGAGAGAAAATCTCTCACTGCTCTTGACTAAATCTTGTAACTTTAGTAAGAATAAATATATATTTAATTTACATAGTGAAGAATATGCAGTGTTTTTATACATTTGATTATTTTATACATTGTATTTAGCATTTCTTATTTATTTATTCTACTGTAGTTTTTCTGTCCTTGCTTGTAATTAGTTTCTTGTTCTTTTTTAATCTCTGACTGTTTACTTGTCTTCAGTGAGCTTGAGTTTTTTTTTTTTTTTTTTTTGTGATATTGATACTGGTGAGAAGAATTATGAAATTTCTATGGTATCATAAAGACATTATTTAAAGCAAAAATAACTATATCGTGATATATATATATATCGGTACCGTGAAATAAAATCAATCATATCGTGATACAAGATTTTGGTCATATCGCCCACCACTTCACATTAAATTAAATATGTTGTCTAACCTGACATAAGTCTGTGCCTTCATTCTATTATATTTGTGTGCCACATTCAGCGCTTCCGTGAAAAGTGATGTAATGTGTGATGAAACAAGAGGGGAGGGTCTAGATGAAATCCGAATACAAATGGTCACAGGAGACACATTTAAAATGCATGGTAAAACCAGGTGCAAACGGTCATGTGTCTTGGCTGACAGCTTGTGATCAGATCACTGAAAACATATCTTAATATCAGGTGGAAACAGGGCCTCTGATAAGTATACTGAAGACTGTCTGTCATCATGAATACCTCACAGGTGTCTCCTCTGTTGCCTCCCTACTCTCGCTGGCCTGGGTCCTGGCTTCATACCACAAGCTCCTGCGCGACTCCAGAGACGACAAAAAGAGCATGAGCTACAGAGGCGCGCTGATCCACATCTTCTGGAGGCTTTTCACCATATCCTCACGGGTGCTCTCCTTCGCCCTCTTCGCTTCCATCTTCCACATCTACTTCGGCATCTTCGTGGTCGTGCACTGGTGTGCCATGGCGTTTTGGATCGTGCACGGCGGCACGGATTATTGCATGTCCAAATGGGAAGAGGTGCTCTTCAACATGGTGGTGGGCATCGTCTACATCTTCTGCTGGTTCAACGTGAAGGAGGGCCGAACCCGGTTCCGCATGGTGATCTACTACTTCGTGGTGCTTGCCGAGAATACGGTGCTTACTTGCCTGTGGTACGCCTACCGAGACCCGGTCACCACCGACTCCTATGCAGTGCCGGTGCTCTGCGGGGTTTACCTGACCTTCGCCTCAGGGGTGGTTTTCATGGGCATCTACTATGGGTTCCTTCATCCGATGGGACCTAAAATAAGGGTGCTAGCTAGCTCCTGTTGTGCCGAGCTTCTTTGGGGACTTCCATTCCCCCCGGAGGCCGAGCCCATGGTGCCCACCCCTGGACCGCGAGCGTCCCAACCCACTCCCAGCCGGGCTTCCATGGGGGCCTTTGGCCAGCAGGACGACGCCTCGGCGGACACCTGCCTGCCCGTGTTTCAGGTGCGCTCGCCCGAGCCCACCACTCCCTTGGGCCGCTACCGGCCAGAGGGACCTCTGATAAAGATCGACATGCCCAGGAAACGCTACCCGGCCTGGGATGCGCACTTCGTGGACAGGCGCTTGCGAAGGACGATAAACATCCTGCAGTTCATCACGCCCGCCACCGTCGGGATCAGGTACAGGGATGGACCGCTGCTGTACGAGCTCCTGCAGTACGAGTCGTCCCTGTGACGTCTGCCATGTTTCGCGAAATGCATGCCATTTTGGTTTCCGTATAAATGCGTACTTGTGTGTAAAAGAGTGTAAGCATCAAGCATTGCACATTTTTCTTTGACGTGAAAAGCCTCTAGAAGATGTGTATATATTTTGTATGTATATACTGTCTCTTTTTTACAATATCCGTTTAGAAATGTGTCCCCGTGAAGGGATATGTATGCGCCATGGTGTTTACGGCCAGCAGAAACCATTACATTGGAAAAATGGAGATTGGTTGACCACATCAACACCGCCTTGTGTTTTTTTTTTTTACAGTTTTTATTCATCTTTACTAGCTGATCTGATATTTCAGAGCTTTTTTTCACATTTGCGTTGATTGATATGCTCAAGTGGTGGTTTATATACAAAAAGAAGCACCTGCTATAACCTAGATTTTCCACTTGTGATTTGCATTGATGATGCAATCAAAAGTCACTTATTTTCAGTAAGAGTTGTCGATTTTTGAGTAGGAAGTTCTACTAGCAAACTACAGTAGAGGGATTTGGCCTCTATTGAATTAATCTCTGTACGCGCCCCTTTACACTGACCTCTGCAGGTGAGAATCCACCTGTTAGACAAAATCCAAGTGGCATTCATTGTCTGTTTGCCTTAAAATGTATTTAGTTTGTTAAAGTGTCTTGATTATTGTATTCTTTGGTTATTAAAGAAATACCTCATTGACTCTGTATAGCACAGTTCAAATCCATTAAATCCTTTGCACAATAAGTATGGTTAATATTGCACTGAGAATCAGGTTAGATCTGTTTAGTGGGAATTTATATTAAGAATTAAATAATAAAAGCACACAGCTCTTGGGCGGTTTTGAAGGAACAGTTTTGTACAGAGAATAGCACATTGAATTGGTAATTTTTAAATAATTTTTCCTCAATTATTGGGATGTTTTTGTTTCCCGGCTTTGTTCACACTGCAAGCCATGAATCCCTCATTCTAATTTTCAGCTGCTTAAATGATATGTATTATTTATTGTTCTATTTTTGTTATAATTATAAATTAATATTATTGTTTATAATTTATTTTATTATATTATTTTATTTTTATTGCATTTCTAGAAATGATACATTTATTAGAATTTTCCAAGTTTAGCATCATTCCACTAACCAAGTGTGAAAGTGTGCAATTATGACGCAAGTCGAGTTTGATCGTTTGATTGGAAAACACATCAGATTCAGCTGCGGTGTGAACATCAGAAATAAGCACAGAAAACCCTCGACAAGGTGGCGTTGTATGACTGGTCCTCTCCATTTTTTCAACCTCTTTTCGAGCATTTAGACTGCATAGTGTGTATACGGTTACTACTCTCATCTGTTTGTCTGGTCTCGTCATCCAAAATTCCAAGTAATAAACTTGTGAGGTGCAGAAATGTGGCTGTGGTTCTCCGAGGAACCCTGGCCCACATATTTTTCCTATGTAATGACTTAATTGTCAGTTTTTTAACGTTTATTTTATTCTAAGGTGCAACAAGATGCTAAGCTAATGGCATTTGAAGTTATCTTTGCCTGAATATACCTGAGTGTATTTAAGTAACCTTGGCAGAGTCTCACCAGGAGGATTTTGCGATCGTTTGAGAAGAGGATGATAATTGCCTCAACACACAGGGCTCGCTGCCGCCCGCAGCGCGAAACAAACAAAGCCAAATCACATCCTCTACTGTAACAGTCTCTCTGCTATTGGTGCATCCAGCCGCCTGTCAAGGTCGTCCTCTTTGCTGATTGGTGCTTATAGTGAAGCATTTGTTTCTTGCTACCTAAGCATGCAGTTTGTTTTTTGGTGCTACTCTGATTATTTTGCCATGTGAAAACTGTGGGATTATTAAAAGGGCACCAAGTATTTATTTGTTTATTTTTATACTGTAAAGAATTTTACCTGTAGTGAAATAAATAACTGCACTTCTGAAAAGTGTTTAAAAGGATGTGCATAAAAAAAACAGTTATTCCTTTGCAAAATGTATGAGACGTCAAAAAATTTTGTTTTGCAAATTTCACAAAAAATGGCAGTAACACATTGAATTAAACATCGATTTAAATATTATTATCTTGTAAAATGTACTCCAATAATTTACAGCTTCAAAAAACGTACCCAAACATTGGGTAAAATAGTCCATTTTTAGTCAGACTGAGCTATTTTAAACTATATTTTTGAATAAAAATAAATCAACATTTGCCATCTTCTTAATGAATTGCAGTACGTTATTGGTTGGGATACACATAGTTCTGCCTTTGAATTTGGCCAAAATGAAGTTCTTAGAAAGCGGCATGACTTCTTTTTTAAACGTAGCCTTGTATCTCATGCAATATTTTGTTATTTCAGTGCAATATTTAAATTACAACAAAACATTGAATCAGTACCAGTTTTTTGGCTGCATTGGTTAGTGAAACATGAACAAAAATTTACTTGGTGGACCTTTAACTATAGGAATTGTCTCCAGCATCATGGCCTTTGCTTTTCACATGAATTCATTGCCATTTCGAGTTTCCAAATCAGAGTGAACCTGAAGCAGCGCTGGCTTGGTGCACCACATAGAGGAGATCACATATGTCCTTGACTCCATTGTGCCTGCTTTGATCCCAACAACCAGATGCCATACAGGTGCATCCAGCAGGTGAAAAGGGTTCTTGCCAGGTTGGAAAAAGAGCTTGAGATCAATCTCCAATTGGCATGTGTTTCCCCTTAAATTGCTTATTAGCACTGGGTCTCTCGACTCGGCTTCCTCCCTGGTTGCTGCTAGCCCTTCCCTCACATTAACATGTGGCTCAGGTGTATTCTGGTGCAGATATTCATGTTTTAGATTTCCCTGCAAATATAAATCTATAGTAATAGGTCATCCTGAGGACAGTCCTCCTCCAGCGTTCATTTCAAGGCTGTGTGTGTGATTTCTGTGCATGTTTCGCTTTGATTTCGCTCATCCACCGCATTCTGGATCACTGTTGTTTGCTGGAGAAACCTGTATCTTTTCATGCTGTCATTTTGAGTTTTGCCAAAGTGTGTTTTTTTATGTTTTTGATGGCTGCCAGATGTGCCGTACTACATCCATCCGTGCATCTTCACTCGTGCACATCTGTGCTGTAAATATTAGACACCTATTGGCCTCTTCCGGGCACTAATACACTGTGATTAGTTCTCCTTCTAACCAAGCAGTGAGCATTCAGATGCATTCAGCTTGTCGAGTCCAAGGTCTAGAAACAAGCTTCCGCTGCTGAAGACTGTATTATGAAATATAACCGTGCTGAAAACACCTCAGACATTACTGTTGTCCTGTTAGACAGTACTTGATATAATGTAGTCAAAATTAATTTTTTGTTTACTCAGGCATTTTATTTTCCTCTGACAAACTTGAATATGTCAAACTGAAATACTCATCATGCAAGGGCTTCCTTGATATGGACAGTATTAGACAATATTGCAGCATTCAGTTAATAATATAGGTGTATATTATAATGATGCATTTATTATTATACGTTGTATTATGAAAACTATAATATATAATAATGAAGCATTCAGCTAATACCACTATATGTGACCCTGGACCACAAAAGCAGTCTTAAGTTGTACGGGTATGTTTGTAGCAATAGCCAAAAATACATTGTATGGGTCAAAATTATCGATTTTTCTTTTAT